ACAATAACCATGTTTGAATTTAACCAAATGATAAGCAATACCCACCATTGAATTTAACTCATGATTAACAATAACCATCTTTGAATTTAACCAAATGATAAGCAATAATCAGTGGCGTAGCGAGGTCGGGTGTGTGTCACCCGGTGCGGCACTTAATGGTGTCACCCCCCAGAGGCGTTGCGGCCCTTCCCGGGGACAAACTTTCAAGTTTTCGATTTGCACCCCCCTCAAACCTTCGATTTGCACCTCCACCTCAAGTTTTTGATTTGAACCCCCCCCCCCCCCCTCTCAAACTTTCGATTTGCACCCCCCCCCCCCCCTTTCAAGTTTTTCTCTATATGTTTTGCTACTTTTTGCCTTGGTGTCACCCCCCCCCCCCTAAATGTTGTCACCCGGTGCGGTCCGCACCCCCCGCCCCCCCCCCCCCCCTCGCTACGCCCCTGGCAATAATCACTGTTGAATTTAACTCAGTGGTTAGCAATAACCACTGTTGACATTAACGCAATGCTTAGCAATAACCACTGTTGAATTTAACTCAATGATTGGCAATAACCCCCGTTAAATTTATCTCAATGATTGGTAATAAACACCGTTGAATTTAACTCAATGATTAGCAATAACCACCGTTGTATTAATCTCAATGATTAGCAATAACCATCTTTGAATTTAACTCAATGATGATCAATAACCACCGTCGCTGTAACTCTCTGCCATATAGCATTGTGTGGAAAATAAAATCAATAGTGCCTGGTTGAGATTTCTTTGCTACAAATTCCACCCCCCCCCCTCTTCTGCTCACCGCAGATAGCCCTTTCTCTTCCCGTCCCTCCCCGTGTTAATCCCATAATGTTGATTTGTGCATTGGGTCTGCAAGTAAAAGTTGATAAAAAATATCAATTCGTTTTGACAGTTAATTGCGATGGTTAAAATGGACCGCAGCCATGAGTGGTTCAATGTGGAACGTCCCCTCCTATTATAAGAGTGGATTAACAATATTTTCGAGTTTATCCTGAGTCACAAAGTGGATTTAGCCCAAGACACCTTTTGCACACCAGGAACGCTAACTGAACACCTTTCGTATACGCTGCCCATGACGCGTCCCGTGTGTCACGTGGGAAGACCGTGTCTTCTAGCAAGACCAGTGTTTCTTCCAGACTTTTTTCTCCGGGGGGGGGGGGGGGGCTTTTGAAATTTTCGGGGGAGGGGGCGGTCAACATTTTTCGGGGGGGGGGGGGCGGACACTAGTAAAAGTGTATGTTTACTATATAAAAACCATCTCGTTCGGGGGGGGGGGGGGGGGGGGGGCGGTAGACTTTCTTCGGGGGGGGGGGCAGAGCTCCCCCCCATCCTCCCGAAGAGATGCCTGGAAGAAACTCTGAGCAAGACATCTTGAAGTGAGCCAACTCTCTTAGAACTCAGGGAATGGTAACCCAGAGAAGGCTGACTGGGTCATGTCTGCCGCACGCTTGACGGCCGAACCCCAGAAGACATTCTCTGAGGAGATCTTACCAACATTACCAGATCCAATGGACGACCAGTTTCTTCCAGGTATCTCTTTGGGGGGAGGGGGGGGGGCAGAGGCGTAGCGACCCTTCCCGGCGCCCGGAGACAAACTTTCAATTTGGTGCCCCCCTCGGGAGCAAATTTTCGATTTGCACCCCCCCCCCTCCCCTCATACTGCAAAAATGCAGCTAAAATGACATTTTAATTTGTTTTTACAGCCCATTTTGGCACCCCCTAAGGTCGGCTCCCGGAGACATATGTACCCCTCCTGCCCCCCCCCCCCCCCCCCCATCGCTACGCCTCTGGGGGGGGGGGGGCTCCCGAACTAAATGGAATTTATATAGAAAACATTTACTTTTACCAGTGTCCGCCCCCCCCCCCCCCCCGAAAAATGTCCGCCCCACACGCCCACATCCCGAAAATATCAAGTGTCCCTTCCCCCTCCCTCCCCCCGGAGAAAAAAGTCTGGAACAAACACAGAGAACGACCCCTGCTAAATTACAGAGGTATCAGCAGACAGGAAATGAGGCAAGCAGACTTACATAAACATATGTGGGACTTAATTAGGATAATAATTCGGGATTATAATTCGGGATTAAGACAAAACTGCAACAAGTGTTTTCTTGAAGTGATCATGCGAAATAACGAGTTGTGCATCCGTTAAAACACAGACAAGCACACAATCAGGATCTAAAGCAAAAACAAAAATAAAATTACTCGCACAGTATATCGTTAGAATGTGGTTATGCTAACTTTTTAACATATCATTATACAAGGATATGATTGAGACAAGCTAGATTATTCGACACAGTTTTTTTTAATAAGTTAAACCTAAAAGTCGATACCAGCTGTCGTAGAGCGCAGATATTAGATACAATTGCATTTGCGTGTGGATAGACTGGAACATTATATGCTCTTTCAGTCAGATAAAGAGCTGGGGAAGTAAGGAACAAGCCATGCTAGATGGAAATCCCATCCCTTTTACCTACCTTGGTCACAATATATATGAGCAGTGGGGAGTTGGGGGAGGGGGGTAACAGATGTAGATATGATAACATTGACAGACACAGAAAGAGCTGCCTTCATTCAGCTTAAGAAGATGTGGACCCAGGAGCGTAGCGAGGGGGGGGGGCGGGGGGTGCGGACCGCACCGGGTGACACCATTTAGGGGGGTGACACCAAGGCAAAAAATAGCAAAATATATAGAGAAAAACTTGGGGTGCAAATCGAAAGTTTGAGGGGGGGGGGGTGCAAATCGAAAGTTTGAGGGGGTGGGGGGGGGTGCAAATCGAAAACTTGAAAGTTTGTCCCCGGGAAGGGTCGCAACGCCTCGGGGGGGGGGGGGGGTGTGACACCATTAAGTGCCGCACCGGGTGACACCCGACCTCGCTACGCCACTGTGTGGACCTCGAGAGAGATCCACCTGAAAACCAAAATTTGCATAATCTACTCCATGATAAATTTTGTTTTGCTGTATTGAGCAGAAACCTAGATGACAACCAAAACTAGATTAGGAAAAGCGCAGGCGTTCATCAAGAGATGTCTCAGGAGTATTCTACAGATTTGCTGGCCAGACACCATCAGCAATGCCAACATTAGGCAAAGTAGCCTACCAGACGAAGTCTTTTAAAGGAAGAAGTAAGGAAGCCAAAAGGGAATTGAATTGGCAAACTTTGAAGTAGAACCTACAAGACAAGCGAACGAAAAGCCATCAAATAATATCCCCCCAAAGAAAGTCTACCCCCCCCCCCCCCCCGAAAATTTCAAGTGCCCCCCCCCTCCCCCTCCGGAAAAAAAAGTCTGGAAGAAACACTGATCCTGGTGACGTGAACTTGAGGCAGACACTGGTAGGTTTGGTGAACTCTGGAGACAGCTGACTGAGGAGAGGGTGATCGTGTGCTTCGCGGAGTAGATAATCTTCATAGCTCTACAAGAAACATTTTGCTTAGATTATTGTTCCTTCTCTCTTGTCAACTTAAGCTTAGTGTCAATGGACTCGACCGAGAATAGTCTCGTAATTTTTTTGGAAGGCCCATTAAATATTTTAATTATCATGTACGATCTTAATAAAAAATAAATATGGTTTATAAAAATCTGGCTGATTTTTGTTGGACTGTTGAAAATAATACAACTGTACCGTAGTCTTACACTCAATTTTTTTTTTTTTAAGTTCTCTGGTTTTGCAACTTCCATAGCATCGATTCTAAAAATATTACATTTCTTGTGTTCCAGGCTTACGTTTTTAGTTTTTGTTATTTTTACGGTCGCCTTGATTGCAAAATCTAAAAAAAAAAAAAAAAAAACACGTTTAAAATTTATTTATTTTTTTGCTCGTCAACTCGGTCATGTCCATTCATTTAAAGTGTTCCTGAAAAAAAAAAGTTTTGTATCTGCCTTTTTTTATGCTAAGGAGGTTTGTTTCCTTATCCCTTTCAGAATGTTGCAGAGATGAGTTATATAGATAAGTGTCATTAATTTAAATAGCCGCGATGAGCGATCCGTTGCACTTTTTTCGTATGTCGGGGCACTTATATGTCGAGATACCATACTGGTTTATGTTCTACCCTTTTCAGAGGCGTAGCGACCCTCCCGGCGCCCGGGAACAAAACTTTCGATTTGCACCCCCCTCGAACTTTTCATTTGCACCCCCCCCCCCCTCAAACTTTCGATTTGCACCCCCCCTCGAACTTTTCATTTGCACCCCCCCCCCCCCTCAAACTTTCAATTTGGCGCCCCCCCCTAAGGTCGGCGCCCGGGGACATATGTCCCCCCCCCCTCGCTACGCATCTGACCCTTTTGAATAGTAAACCTAATCTGTTTGTATATACCTCAGCATATTCGTCGACTAGATACATTACTGGGATCGTTCGCCTACCGCCCCGAGTTTCTTCCAGGCATCTCTTCGGGGGGGGGGGGGGGGGGAAGAAACACTGAACCCGAACTAGTGACGCCACTGATCGCACCCTCCTGTAAATAAAAGCTACTCGGTCCTAAATAGGGGTGTATATATATATATAGGGATATATATATATATATATATATATATATATATATATATATATATATATATATATATATATACGCACCTACGTATATATACGCCCCAATACAATCATAGATCTAGCTGTTACAGTTTTATTAGTGTTTATAACTTTATAGTCACTTAGTTAATCGATTGTAGGTCGCGACTCAAGACAGTAATGTATCGATTAACCTTAATAACTAAGCGGCAAGAAAATCTAACTCTTGCCGAGATTTACTTCGTAGTTTACATTAACTTATCTGCATACGGTATTACACCGTTTTTTATCAATAGATTAGATTGAGACTGTTAAGTTTACAATGATGCATTTAATATCAAACAAAAACTATTTTAAATATCTTTTGTTATAAATAATTTCCTTTTGCGAATCGATATTAATTTTGGTATTGTTACAGAGTACATTTTTCGCTGTGGTCCAATGCATTAAAAATCTGGCACACTTACTAGCGACAATTCAACTTCCGTTGCTTTGAGTAGGATCGCTACATGTTTAGTTAACAGTAGTTAACACCAAATATTAACTTTTCAAAATTATGCTTTAGGTTTCATTAAGGCAAGGTAACTTGGTTATCCCTTTTTAATCACCTAATTTATTGTAGTGATGTGGTTGCCATTTAGTTTTGCGTATTACCTTTTATATGTAGATTCTTGATCTATCTTCTCTTGGGTGTGTGCTTTTGTGTACTGCAGTCTGCAGGGCTAGCGTACTTCTTACTTCTTCTTAGTAACGACGGCAACGGTTGTAGATCTAGAAATCTATGTCATTCTATGTTCATGTTCTGCTAGGCCCTATGATAAGAATCTGGCTTGTTGACTAAACTTCACTAGTCTTAGGAAAAATAACTTGACATCTAGATCTAGCATTGAACATTTTACTCCTTTAGTGAAGTTTAGTGTCTAAAAATCATGGCGTTGATTATCCAGTTATTTTTAAAGTTGAATAATAAAACAAAAAAACAAAACAGGCTTAAGTTTTGGGCCCAATAATTTAATAAACTTTTTCTTGTAGTTTCTAGTATTATTGTGAAGGCCTGCTTATTACTTGATAAATGAATCAAATGATCATATCATATAGGCCTAGATCTAGTTAATTAATACTGCAGAGAGACTAGTTTACTAGATCCTCTGGAAGCTTACATAATACTAATAATACATAGAGTAAATCTGCCTGGCCCGACTATGTGCCTCGAAACGAACAACTCCATAACTCTCACTTTGAATACTAATTGCACTGTTATTTGAATGTTTTATACAGAAACATTATAATTGGTAGCAAATAGGCCTATGTCCATTTATAAGTCCATTTATATCAAACTTTGATCCATTTGAATTACCCACAGTGGGATATGACCAATTAAAAGCAACCCGTCATGTAGGCGGCCATTTTATGTTGCCGGGACAAGCAAAGCCTCCTCCCAACTTAGCGTCTTTTTAAAACGTTTATTTTTTTTTCCAGAAAAAATGAACTGAAATTGAATAGGATAGGCTACAGAACATATATTTTTATAGAAAATGCTAATTTTCCTTACTAAATACATTTTTGGGGGGTAGTCATAAGGAGGATGAAAATTTACGTGTTTTGCCTGGAAACGATTACCCATAGTAAACCATAACACAAGCATTTTTATTTGGAAGAGTTATCTCCCCTATTATTTTTTTTCCAATGTTATGAATTATATTATTTTTGGCATTTAAAAACAAATACACACTGAAACACAAAACTAAACTCATAAAATATTAATAGTACAAGATTATTTATTCAACTGAACTGAAAAAAACAGCAAAAATATGACTTAATCGGATGGAGGAAAGACCAGTCGTTTGCAGGCAAAACCGGGAAAATTTTATTCGGGTACAGGACGACTGGGTTGTCTGTTTCGGGGGCATATATTTAAAAGTTATATTGCAAATGGAAAAAAAGGGAATACATATTTTTATTCTTCTTTGGCTGAAGAGTATTTCTATGCTTTGGTTTTCATTCTATGTCAAATAGTAACGAAATTAGGTGTCTCGAACCGGAAAGAAGTCTCCGTTTCGGGCTAAGGGTGTTCGGGGCGGTAATGTTACTCTAGATCTAGATTCTATTACATTTTTTTTAAATGATGGATTTTTTTTACCAGTGTTTGATAACCCTAATTTCTAACCATAAGACTAGTAGGCCATTTAGAATACAATTTCTGGGTTTGTTTGTTTAACCCTCTTAAGAAGTAGCTTTATTGAAGAGCCAGTGTAAAGAAGTCAGGCCTACCTTTAAGATTTGCACTTGAAATCCAATTTTTTAAAAATTATTTTACATGCATGATAATATATATTATCTTTTAAGAAATTGAATAAGCTAATATGATTTTTATAAATCAGTCTTAACATTTATAAATGAGCTTCCTGATTTGCAGAATTTATCCCTGAAAAAAATTTGACTCAACTAAATTAAGTAAATTAGGGTAGTTTTCATTACGTGGTAGATTTTAAAACCATCATCAGTTTTAGAAATTACAAATACCAGTTTCTATTTAAGTCAATTAAGGGGGCACTACACCGTACATACAAAAATTTACAAAAAAATTTTTTTTAAGAAAACAAACACATGTATTGCAGTTATAAAGATATTTTATATACTTTTAGACCAATGTGAATGTGTCTTCAGCGTTAGCCGATTAAAAAATACAGAAATAAATGATTTAGACATATCATGCTTCAATCTGTTTAACTCAATAACCATTTAATGTATTGACTTAAAACTTCTAATTTAAATAAAGGAGAGGATTCCTAACAGGAGAATAGAGAGACTTTTTGAATATATGACAAAATGTTTAAGTTACAAATTTTTTGTTTTTAGATTAAAATATTAACCATGAAATCAACTTTGAAATTCTCTAAAAACAAAACTACTCAAGATAACCTAAAAAAGTCTCTATTACTCTAACAGTAATTATGTTGTGTTTCTACTGTACAAATTTCATTGAAATCTAATAGACAGTATTTGAGATCATAATTTTGAAGTTTTAAAACTGGTAAAAAAACAAAATTGTGAGAAAAAGGGGAAAACGTGTTTGAAAATGAAAAAAAACTGTTAAACACTCTTTATATCTTATCAAAAGCTTATCATATAGTTTAAGCAATGTATACAAGATACTATAATCAAAGTTTCAATCAAATCAAGCAATAATTAGTCTTGGTAATTAGGTTTAATGAGGTGCACCCCCTAAAAATAAATTGTAAATAAGAGTTATCAAAAATATTTTAAAAATTAATAAAAGCTTTTAAATCAAATAATATCCTAGTAAAAGCTTATTAAATAGTTTTAGTATGTACAGAAGTTACTATTATCATTTGGTTTCTGAAATTAAGGAGTAATTATTCTTGTAAATCAGGTTTTATAAATGTACCCCTGAACAAAAAACTTCAAAACAGGTCAAGTAAAATTTACAAAAAAATTGAATTAGCTTACAAAATAGCTACATAGAGGTACAGTATACAACTCTGAAAACATTTGCATATTACTAACATTACAAAAACAAAATAGTTACAGTAGGCCTAATCATTCTCTATTTAGAAAGCCGAAGAAAAATATGATGATCTGCCTTCAGCCTGAACTAGTTTCTGTTGGGCTATGGGTGAAATAACAGCCATCTTTCAGTATTACTAACTGTCATGTAATCCCATGATTGGGGCCATATGCCTAGATGCATGCAGAAAGACTTTCATTTGGGTTGAATCTATCATGCAACTGCTCAATATGGCATTTGTCGTCAGTTGCTAATAAACATTTTGGACAGCTTTGGCAACATGTTCTAAGATGAATGATGAACCTTTGTGAGATAGCGGTGTTGAATTATGTACCATGACACATTTGCCAGAAGCACCAGGAGGTTTTCCCTGTCTGTCAATCCTGGTGTGTGTCCTTTCATCTGTCAAAGGGACATGATTAGAAGGAGCTCCAACTTTCCACCTCAGTTCCCTGTACTGCCAGTCTTACTTGAAACTGCCTTCTTGAAGTAGGTCTGGAGATTTTTTCAGCTGCTGAAATGAGATTGAGACAATATACTGATCTATACATTCTAGCTATCAGAGTGATTTCAAGAATTCAAACAAGTTTGACAAATCCTAATACCTGCGTAAGACTTCCAATCTATCCACTCAGTGCATTACGGCGATTAGACTGCAGAAGCACTAAATTTTCTTTGCGATGGTTGGTGGAAGTAGTGTAGCTGCAACCGATGCATGTGCACTGAGATGCAGGTACTGTAGGTGCATCTAGTGCATCTGTGCAGTCCCAAGTGATGTGCATCAACCCTAGCAAGCTTGGCAGCACTAGCTTTGAGACTTCAGGCATTGACTGTAAAAATATTTAAAAATAATAAGGCATATTGTTATTTCTAGATCTATCTATTATTCTATTATAAACTATTGTTTGTATTTATAGACTCATATTTACCTATATAGATCTGGACTAGAATCTAAATTCTACTTCTAGATCTTGATCTAGGTTTTAGATTTAGAATCTCCAATCTAGATCTAAATCTAGATCTAGATTTCTAGTTCTAGATCTAGAATAGATCTAGATTCGAGATCTAGATCTAGAACGACTCATTATCGATAAGGAATAATAGTCCAAGTTTATTGATGAAAATACAATTAATAACTATATTTTAGAAAATAATTTCAGTAAAATAGTAATTAAATCAAATCTTACCGTAAAAAGAAGCCAACAAACAAAAAATGTGCACTTATTTGATAAAAAAGAAGCACTCAGGTTCGCAGATGTCGAGTAAAGGAAGTCATGCGCTGAGCAAAATAATAGCCGGTATCTCGGCAACCGCTTACATTTCGGTCATATGTCGCCTTGACATGAGCTAATTTTAGTAACTTACAACATGGCTTCGCCTGGTAACCAATGGGAATACAGCTTTTCTTATTTCCATCATGCATTCACCTCGCGATTTCTATTTTAGTATTTAAAACTAGGTCAATGTATTTAGGTTATTTAAATGAGCAATTGCAAGCCGGTCATTCTGATATACGGCTTGCTATGCTAGGTCGCTTAGTTAAGAATCGACAGGCATGTTTATGGAGGCCATTTTTCCGTAAATTTATATTTTTCCAGGCACACACACCTTCTTCAAATGCACAAATATGTATGAAAATGTCAATTTACAGTTAAAACGATAACGGCATTAGGTAAATAAGATGTTAATGTATAGAAATAAAAAATAAAAAAAAATCGAAAAAAAAATAAAAATAAAATAAAAAATCAAGCTGAGTACGGTGTTGTAGCCCCTTAAGAATTGTTGGATGTAGTTTAGACATCATTTCTTTTTTGTCTTGCAAGCGGTGCTTTAGTGAAAGTAGCTCTCCTTATTCTTTGTGTTCTACAAATCAAATAACTCCTAACAGCTTTATTAATGAAAACCAGCATATGATTAATAGATGTTTGAAAGCCTTAGTTTTATATACATGACAACATCTGTTAATACTTCATTTGTATGGTTATATCGTCCAAAATATCCTCCCTCAATAATGCCGAAAACATTGCGGGAAAATGTGTACAGCACCAAAATCTAATCGTTTAGTTAGATGTATTACTATATGTATGCTATGTCGCCTAATTTCTAGAAATAGAATTAATTATGCTTTCCTCATTGCTGATCATTTTTATTATATTTTTTTATAATTGAAAATATGAATTATTAGTTGAATTGCAGTTCATATAGCTTGAAATACTTATTCTCTGTCAATTTAAAATGCAAATATTGTCACAACACACAAAAATATACAGTAGTTCAAACTGCAATGTGCCACTCCATTCAAGAAAGCATATGTTTACTTAGCTGTTAGTCAAACTTTACAACTCTAATTCAAATTAATTTTCAAATTTTTCTTACACATTTAGGTAAGATTAAGTACTCTATTTTGAGTTCAAATCCGGGTACAAATCAGTAGTCCGCCCCTGAGTCAACCCAGCTCTGATGGGTACCTAACTCACGTTAGGGCAAGTAAAGGCAGCTGGGCATAGTGCTGACCAAACTATCCCTTCGTATGCAGAAGTCACAGAAACAAGAGAACACTACTTCACTTGCCCAGTAGACCGTCATGTTTGAAAGAGAACTTTACTAAGTGCTCTATTTACTTAGAATTAAAAGCAAACAAGAATAAACCCAGTTTTAATGGAGGTCACATGCCAAGTACTTGCCCCATAGTTTTTTTTTACAAAAGTGACGAAGGATAGGCCCACTGTCACTTTGGAATTTTTTCTGTAATAATAAGACAAAGATTTACTATATGCTAAATTGCCTTAGTTTACTATTGAAAATCGGATTATTGATACTTTTTGATACATTTTGATATTTTCATAAAACTGCCTAATTTAAGGGATTGGGTTATTAAGCTTATCCTTAGTGTAAAAGAAGATTCTATTATTGTGTCATTATTCGATACAGTATAAACTCCCCAGGTTTTTATCTATACTAGGGTTTAAATTAATTTTGTCCAGCACTTTATTTTAGCCCACTTTTATTACCACCTCTCCTAGCAACACAACAAAAGGCTTGGTTAAAGTAACAATGAAATGGGCAAAGTAAAAAAAATATTCAAGAGCAAAGATGTAAAATACAAGATTGATCACTTAGCAAGATTGATCATGTAGCATTTTTATCCTGCAGCTGTTTCCAACTTGTAGCTTCTATGTGCTTTCATTTTACTGCACCTGAATTTCAACAGTTGGATGATTTTTTTGTCTGTTTGCTAATACTGCATGCTTTGAACTTTTGTCTCATTATCTACTTGTTGCTCAGCACATAATGGCTCATATATGAACCCCACTCTAAAAGCTTGCCTACGCATCACATTTCTTGAACTCTCTCCTAACAAATATAACACATCTCACAAAAGTTTTAACCCATCTCTATATAGGTGTGTGATGTCAATAATAATAGCCCCTTATCCAGTAGGGTTCCTCAATCAAAGGTGGTTGTATCTGGTTGCTATCAACAATGGTACCATGCTCATTTAATTAGAGAATTTTTTGTTTGCTTAGTTCTACTGACCATCAAAAAAAATTTTAACATATGTTTCAAATAACTATAGATGAAAGTAGTGTATATATCAGGAGGGCATAATTTAAAATTTGCTTCTGGTCATGACATTTTTTTTTAAAGACATTAGTATTGTTAAATCTGTTTAAAAATTTTCAATTGGCCGCAGAAAATGACCTAAAGAAAATTTTGAATGTTGTGGATTACTAATTGTTAAATAGGCCTCTGTTGAAGATAGCTGAAGGCGTCCGTGCAAGAAGACTCTGGGAGACAGCTTTGACTGTTATTAATTCATGTAGCACATGTTGCTGTTATACTCATTTTTAATTTAAATTATATCGCTTGATCAGTTATTTCCTCTGTCATATAAACAATGCAGTCATCCTGTGTTGTTTGTTGTCATTGACATTAGTAATAGTGCTTAGCCTGCAATTAACCCTTTCTGCTTTAAAATTTGTTATAATAACTATATTACAATTGTGGGTTTGTGTTTTGTCATCTCTACAAAATTGATAACAAGATATTTTAAAACTTTTGTTGTTTGTATTTCTGAGATAATAAAACTAATTAGTTTTTTGTCCAAAGTTGGCTGTGAGCCACGTTTCGCCATCATATCACAAATCAAATAAGTAGCAACATGTCAATTTAGGAAAAATGTTCAGTTATTTTTACTTGCTTAGACGTGAAAGCTATTTATTTTTTAATGAAGCAAAAAAATAATTACTACCAGTGTTATCTTATATTTCTAAAACAAACACCAGAGAATCCACTGTTGATTTAAATCCCTGTGCATGGTGGACATGTGACTTGCACATTAGCATGGCAGTGATGCAACTGCAATATTGTCCCTAGATTTCTTCAGGAAAACTCCAGCTATTAAATAATAATATGCCCTTTTACTAACAAATTATTAGTTTTTTAAAAACAAGTCAATACATAGGCATATTGTGGTTGAGTTTTATAAAATAGATCCCACTACGTCATTCAGTTGTAACATAAGCTATGCTTAGGATTGTTTTTACTTGTCATCTGCTGTATTTCCCATAGCTATTTATTACATGGGTTTATTCAGAAATGTATTAATATACCTGATTGAATATTTTTTATTTTAGTTTGTCAACCTGGTCCCTTGAAACTACACAATATTTAACCATGAAAATGGGAAGGATGCGATTTCAGTACTGCAAGGTATGTGTAATTTTAGTGTGTGGTAACTTTGGAATTAGCATTTCTGTCACTGTGCTATTTCCACTCTCTTTCTTTCAAATACTATCTAAAGCTTTGCTATTTAATGAAGGTAGTAATAACTAAGCCTAGAATGTGTGTAGTTGATGTACTGATGTCATACAACAACACATGCTCTGACATGGGGTAAAAAATACTCTTAAGATTTATTTAATAACTTAAGCTCTAACTTAAGCTCTGATGTTAACTATGGTCAGCCCTATGTTGTGCCACCATTTCCCTAGTTTAATAACAATGTCATCAAACCCCCATCATGTTTCTGACAATGATTGCTTGATCCCCCAGGTTATCATAGCCACCTCTATGGTGTGGATAATGCTTGATGTATTTGTGCTGATGTATTTCACTGACTGCACCAATGGACCAAGGTGTAGTCCCCCTGAAGGGGATCCCAAAGCACTGCCTGACAAGTCCAAACCTGGTTTCTTAGAAAAAATATTCCCCAAAGGTAAGCAAGATTTTTCTGTGTTGTTTTTTCTTACCATGTACATTTGGCTAGTTTGTTACAAAGCTAACACAGCTTCCATAAATGATGTAATATGTGTCTGATGAAATTTGATTGTTCTCCCTCCACTTAATCATACAGTGTGACACGCTGAGCCAGCCTCCCCATTCATCTTGTCATGACGGCTCTATTATTGTCATATTGGCAATATGTTTCCCTGTCATTACTCACAAAATTAATTGTTACGAGTCTATAGACATGGAAAACTATTTTTTTTCTTCTTTATGTTTGAAAAAGTGTATAATGCAACATTTTTCCTGTTGATTATTGGTGGGCAAGACTCTTTAACTTATTCATGACACCACACTTAGGATAGGTACTGTGGCCCTAACCCCCCATTAAAAATATTATTTATGCAAGCTGCCAGAACAATTTCTCAATTAAAGAGCCAAGCTATGTAGCATTGAAAGGTCTTTTTCTCTCTTTTTTGTTTATGTCTTGTATAAAACCTTAGTTTTTTTGCAATCATCTTTTTTTATGTGTGCATGCATTTACTCTTGGTTGAGTTTAAGATATAGTTATACTTTAGTTGCTCCATACATACAACGTATTCATTACTTATTTGATTAGATTGTCTTTGATGTAGGTAATCTAAACTCACTATTGTGTTTACTTTATTAGCCATTATTTTATTCACCTACTTTCCAAAAACCCTGATTGGTATTAAGTTGGCAGAATAATTCTTAGGAATATATTAATTATATAGCTTTTTACCAAACATTTTAATAACAGATTAGTTGTCTCTCTTGTTCTTAAAAAAATACTGATATGAATGGAATCTGGTAATGTAGGTGTCAAGGTTTAATTGAATTTTGACAGCCCTTGGCTAAATCAGACATGGAGCGGAAATATTTGGGTGAAAGGGGCCAAATGTTTATTTTACAATAAACATTGATTTGTGTGTTAACTTTCAACTCAACTCACATTCAACTTCACTCCTCTACTTTTTTGCAGTAACAACTAAAGGTAATAGTGCCCAGCAATTCTTAGTCTGGTATCTTAGGCTCGGTAATGTGTCATTTTAAATTTATGGTCAGCCAACTTTAAAGCTATGAATAGCAAAAGAATAATTTGCCTAAGATTGAGGAAAAATTGCATTTTCTTAATTTTATTTTGCATTGAGTTTCATTTTTACAATTGATTTTGGTTTAATTTTCTTTACAAAGTGGATACCTATCAATCTATATATATATATTTCATACATTCTACCTCTTATTTTTAGATTATTTTTTTTGTGAAAATTACATTAAGTATTTTGTGTTTTTTTTTTTTAATGTTGTTTTAGCTTTTTCAAAAAAATATACATAGATGAAAAAGCTTGTCTCTCAATTCATGTGTACATTTTTTCTACTAAATGTGATTGACTATACATCTAGATCATTTCATGTAGATTGTATGTACCAATAGACAAAATTTATTTTGTGAAATTTGTGTCTTGCACATAGTTTGTAAATTAGACTTTTTAAGCCACTGCTATTTTTATGGTGAGTCTGTGTACTCTTATTTACTAAAAGCATTTATTGGTAGAGATTTTTCTGTTTTGCCACAGATCTCCTGTTAATTGCACTACCTTCCAAACTGGTGATCATTGTATTACTCTTTCTGTAATTACAAGGTACACAATAAATATTTCCCATCCTAATTACAACCTAGACAGATGGCTCTTTGCCGAATATGTTTCTGGCGCCTCATAGAAAATGGAAAAAATATAATGTGGACAAAATCAATAGGAAGGAGATAGGAAAAATGATTGAGGACTACAGTAATTGTAGTAAAGTCCCTTATAAATCTGGGCTGGGGAGAATGACACTGTTCACTTAGTTAGCTTCTCACAAAACTACTGTTGGTTTTTTTTTCTTTTGTATGTGTGTGTGTGTGTGGAAAATATGACTTTTATTTCAAGGATAAGAGACTTTGGATTAGGATCTGTGTTTTTATAATATGCGGGTGTACTTTGCATTGTAGTTCAACAGTTCTTTCTATAATGGGAGCAGAAATTGTAAACCATTTGGAGTTGTCTTTTAATCTCATGACGTTCAGCTTCCACGGCTGTGCTGGCTTCGTGGGATGAAAACCAACATGCAATCTGCAGGCTTAAAATAACACAATGGCTACTTTAAATAACACAACAGGGTTAAAATAGACCCCTCATCCACTGAAAAGCATCATTAAGGGAATAGAGTATTTCAACCTCGTCTATGTTGATCCCTTCTTTTTACATGGCAGAGGAAAACGCCAGACAACTTGAGAAACCTGGTTACGATTTTTTTATTTAATTTTTTTTTTTTTTGTGTCACATGTCGGGTCTATACGCGTCGGCCATCTTTCCCCGTGCGATAGAAATGTGGGTTGATTCAAAGGTTAACCACGTCGCTACTATAATTAGCTGTTATCGTGTTTCTATGTTCTAGCATTGCACCTCTAGATAGATCGATATTTTTTGTATCAAGTTCCTTGGTCGAGGGAAGCGTCCTTACCTTGACGGCGGGGGAAGTGGTATCGTTGTCTTGAGGCGTAGCTTGCCTGTCCGTAAGGTGATCTGTACTCGACGTTTTCCCTAGCACACCCGCCCGTCTTTAACCAAGGGACCCATGGGGATATTTGTACGCAGTCCTACCCATTGATAGTTCAGTATTGTAAAATCCAGTGTAACACATCGACTAGGCTTAGACTACGTATACCCCTCCCCCCCCTCCCAAGGAATTAGCATTTATTTATATGCAAATTATATATACTTCAACCCGTGTCCGCCCTCCCGAAAGTTACTAGTCGACCCCCCTCCCGGATACATAAAGACTGAAAGAAACCCTGATAATTTATGCTACTGACGGTACCAGTCTGTGATCCATTCAATACACAACAGTACACCAGTTGTTGAGCTGAATGTATCGGAATTACCCTGTATGCCAGCCCTTTGAGCTGTGGCTGTGTGATAATGTCATTTTGAACTGGATAGAACTCAGCTCAATATAGAGTTAGCCTACACTGGGCGTGTAATTACAAACACCTTATCTGGTTAGCGCCATAAAACACCGGCATAATTTTCTTCTCCTGCCTTCATAAGGTAAATATCAATACTTGGGTGGAGAACTGGCTCTGTCTTGCTAGATTTATGTTTCTTTCTTTGCTCTCTGGGATATCTTAACTATAGGTTGTGTCTTAAGATAGGGCAGAAATGATGGTTTAACTTACGGTTGGGTAGAAGTGATGGTTTAACTTAAGGTTGGGTAGAAGTGATGGTTTAACTTAAGGTTGGGTAGAAGTGATGGTTTAACTTAAGGTTGGGTAGAATGATGGTTTAACGTAAGGTTGGAGAGAAGTGATGGTTTAACTTAAGGTTGGACAGAAGTGATGGTTTAACTTTAGGTTGGGTAGAAGTGAGGTTTAACTTAGGGTTAGGTAGAAGTGATGGTTTAACTTAAGGTTAGGTAGAAGTGATGGTTTAACTTAAGGTTAGGTAGAAGTGATGGTTTAACTTAAGGTTAGGTAGTAGTGATGGTTTAACTTAAGGTTGGGCAGAAGTGATGGTTTAACTTAAGGTTAGGTAGAAGTGATGGTTTAACTTAAGGTTAGGTAGAAGTGATGGTTTAACTTAAGGTTAGGTAGAAGTGATGGTTTAACTTATGGTTAGGTAGAAGTGATGGTTTAACTTAAGGTTGGAGAGAAGTGCTTTAAGGTTGGGCAGTCTGATGATGTATTGAGCAGACTGGTGATGTTATAAGTTTTGGCAGCCTTGCTCAAGTGTGTCAATGTCCTTTAGTTTTGTCAGACTCAACGTCCTCTGCCTCTAGAGCTTCACTATGGGTCTTGTGTTTTTAACTGAACTACCTCATTGAAGCCGAAAACTCTAAACCTAGCGTAAGTCAGCGTGCATTAGCCTACATGACCTGAAGGGATGGTGCCGAGATAGATGGCTGATTGGTGATCCAAGCATCGAATTTATTACAGGAAACAAAATAGCCACGCCATAAATCTTTATCAATCTTATATCACACGAGTCGTTTGCCACTTTTTGACATTACGTTATAACTGTTTTTTTAATGATTTGAAATAAGTGTCATTTGGTTTCAGTTGGGGAAATTGTATCTCGATCCTTTGTCTAGGGGGTAATGGATTTTAACGCCATGGTTGTTTAGTGCGGGCTGTTGGTTGGTTCAGGCTTTAAAAATGATTAAGACCCGTCTCTAGGGGGATCGGAGCATGGATTCTATTTTAGTACACAGGCGGAACGTTCATTTTGTCTGACGTTCCTGAAGATTTTTTCCCCGCGATTCCTTGTTTAAAAAAAAAAAGATCTATACCCAGTAGTCAGGTGAAGTATTTCTAGCGTGACCAAGTGTATTGCAGCCAGCGGCTAGGCACAGTGCAACAATACAACCAAATGTTGCTGTGGGCTGTCTCTTGCGTTTATTATTTAATGAGCGTATTTTGATTCGCCCTGTTGTTGTGTTCAGCTGTCGCCACGTCTACACAGTGATCTGCTGTAGGATATATTGATTTGTAGCCTGTATCGAAGGATAACTTCCATGTTGTTGAATCTCCTCCACTTGGGGATAGTTAGTTTTCTGGTTTGATGGGCTTCCTTGACGTGGGTTAAAGGCGTCTGTAATTGACGGTTGTACGGGCTCTATGCTGCTGTGTTCCAGACAGAATGTAGTATACGTGTCTATTTCGCTTACCACCCGCAGTTTTATATTTGATATATATATATATATATATATATATATATATATATATATATATATATATATATATATATATATATATATATATATATATATATATATATATATATATATATATATATATATATATATATAAACTGATTTAGTTCATCTTTTTGTTTTGACTCACCGTAGTATTTAAATATCTGGTGTCCCTTGAAATGTATCTGTTGTTCATGTTTGTTCTGTTATTCTCTGTATCAACTGTAATGAATACCG